CACTCCACGGGGAATTACTTACAGTGTAAGTGAATGAGTATTTTGTGGGCAAATACAGGAGTCAGTTTTTTGCAATGCAATATCCCGCTGGGAATGAAGTGGATTATTTGGGGGATGGTTGCCCAGGTCACCGGGAGAAATTCTCTTCCCTTCTTTTTCCAAACAGTGTCATGGAAACTAACCCCCACCTGAACAGGTTTAACGTCTCATCCAAAAGGAAGGCACCTCCACCAACACAGTGCTTCTCCTAAGCACAACCCGCATCCCACCCGACCCCACCCCCAGCCCTACAGTATCAGCCTCAACAGAGCTCACGGTCCTGATAAGGGGCTTGAAGAACACCAACAACAACAACAACAAAATTAGATTGACGTAGTGCATTTCACATCGGAAGAATCGCCCAGGCGCTGGACAGCTAAGGGTTAACACCCGAGCTGGGACTTGAAGCCAAGAGCGTGGCAAATAAAACACGATCAAAGGGGAGAGCCTTGAGAAACGGGCTTTGAAGGAGGCGAGAGAGGGGGTGGATGGAGATCCAGAGGGTGGGTGGGGGGGGGGGCAGAAAGGCTGAAGGTCCAACAGTCTCGCCAATAAAATCTATCATTTGTTTCATGGCTGTTTTGTGGGACGTTGCTGTGCGAGTTGTCTGCCGCAGCCGCCTCCAAAAATATACAGTCATTGCGCTTTACAGCAAATTAGAAGGTTAGACGTTACAGGTGCTTTAGAAAGGCAATAATAATAATTATTATTATTATTATCATTATTATAGCGTGGCTGTGATTTATGTTTGCTGCCTGTGGTATCGGATCCTGTGATAAACATCACAGTGTGTAACATCAGAGATAGCAGGTGCATGTTCACATTCCAAAGTGCCAACCCACTCTGTAATATATCTTTGGAACCAGCCGAAGGTTTTCTTCCACATAAACACCTCGCTGCCGGCATGATAAAGCTCCCGGGTTTAAAGGCCGGTTATTGATGTGGTGGTTCCGACAGATTGCTGTAATGTCTCGAGGCTGGTGTTATATGTTTCGAAGATGCTGAGTAATTAGTTAACTGCCATTCCTCTTCCTAGTTTCCTCTCGTTGGCCAATTCTCTCCCCTCCTCTCCTGGAAGTAACAACTCACGGTTAGCGTCCGCTTCCATGAATCCCACAGCTCCCAGACACCATCAAACCAACGGTCTAGTTAATTTGTTACAGGGTCTAGTGACCTCTGGACCTACAGACTGTGTCAGGAGGTTGTTCTTGTGAGCTGTTTTTTCTTCTGCCTCTTACACTGCAAAGGAATCGCAGACGCAGTACTTTGGGATCTCTGATCAGTGTGGAGAGGCTCAAACGTGAGCGACATTGTGTTTGAAGCTGAACAATAGAGGTTTCCCATTCTGACTGGGCCTTGACTTGAGGGCTGCGCAGTGCTACACGCACAAGCGTGCACACACGTACCAGCATACACACACGCACACGCACACATACATTGCGCATGCACATAAGCACGCACACCTACATGCGCGGAAACACACACACGCATGCTGAAATACACACAAACATGTACGTGCACACACACACACACACGTGTGTTGTATACATCTAAAGGATATGTCGCAATCCTGAGGGTCAAATGATGTGTCCTACATCTTGGGCTGTGCCTTCAGTTATCTCCCTCATAACCCCCTTCTCTCCCACTCCACCGAGGCTCCTGCTCAGTTTCTGGGAAGTACTTTGAAAGGCGCTAAGCAAGTGCAGGTTCTCGCTGTTGTCCGTGGTTTGGGGGAATGACATTCTGTGGCCTTTTCCTAGAGACACACTCAACACTCCCCACCTCCCACAAAGCCAGCCAGGCCTGACACGAGGGGAAATAATCCAGACCAGTATCATCCTTGCGTTCAATATAGCACTTTATCACTTTGTCAAATCACCTCAAAGCACTTCCCAGGATTTTTATTGGCAAGTGTAGTCTGTGGGCATATGAGCAGCCAATTTTCACATAGCAACAGCCCACAAAGCCTTAAATGATCATTTTTTTAACAGGGGATCTCTTGGCCAGGACAACGGTGCTTTTACTGATTCAAACGATTCAAACCATTTACCGTTTTGTTTTTGGGTGGGGGGATCAGCCGAGTGTCTGACACAAGCGGAAACCCATACCGTGCTTAAGAGGGTCCAAACCAGACTGAGAATTCCATGTGTGTGTGTGTGTGTGCCTTCTGCACGTGGAAACGTCCCTGTGTCTGGAATGGAGCGGAATCCACAACTCATCCACGAAGGACGGAATAACCGACAGATAATGGTAATGTTTATTGGTGAATGTACAGATTACAACATGTGCATTGCTTGCATCTAGTTAATTTATTGCACTAATAACTACCCCGGAGAGTTGCCTAACCAGAACCTACGCTTGCACAACCCCTTCCACAGTGGATGAAAGTCCTCGTTACAAAACGAGAATAATTAGGAACAAAGTCATTGAACATTGATAGGGAGGCAAACGTGGCAGGTAAGTAGCATTAGAAACATACCACGCACAACAGAGGGGATGAGCGATTAGTTTTGTGTGTGTGAGAGAGAGAGAGAGAGAGAGAGAGTGTGTGTGGGGGAGACATCTAATGCTGCCAGGGGAGTTTCCAAAAATGTGTAACACAATCAACTGTTGGGGTTTTGTACGTAAGATTTCACTTACAAAACACATGGTCAATACACCTTATGACTTGCATTTGACGCTGGTGATGTGATCATATTTTAAGAACATAAGAATTAGAAGCAGGAGTCGGCCATTCGGCCCCTCGAGCCCTGCCCCGCCATTCGATAAGATCATGGCTGATCTTCTGACCCAACTCTAATTACCTGCTCTATCCCCATATCCCCTAATCCCTCTATTTTTAAAAAATCTATCAGTCTCAGCCTTGAAGATGTTCAAGGACTGACATCTACAGCCTTCTGGGGGAGTGAATTCCATAAATTCACTACCCTCTGAGTGAAGAAATGTTTCCTCAACTCTGCTCTAAAAGGCTGACCCTTAATTTTAAGACTGTAACCCCTGGTTATAGATTCTCCCTCCGGGGAAACAGACCCTCAGTGACTATTTTATCAGCCCTTTAAGAATCTGATATGTTTCAATAAGATCCTCCCTAATTCTTCTGTACTCTGGAGAATACAGCCCCAGTTTATTCAGCCTCTCCTCATAGGTCAGTCCCCTCATCCCAGGAACTAACCGAGTGAATCTACGCTGCAGCCCCTCGAGGGCAAGTATGTCTTTTTTTAAATAAGGACCAAAACTGCACTCGAGGTGCGGTCTCACCAAAGCCCTACACAGTTGCAGCAATGAACGCTAACGTGTCGTTCGCCTTCTTAGTTGCTGCTGCACTGCAAACTAACTTTTTGGGACTGGTGTACAAGGACACCCAAATCCCTCTGAACACTAACACCATCTAATCTCTCCCCCTCTAGAAAAGAATCTGTTTTCCTATTTTTTCTCCCTAGGTGAATAACTTCACATTTCCCCGCATTAAATTCCATCTGCCAAGTCCTCGCCCACTCCCCTCGCCTATCTATATCCCGTTGCAATCTTTTTGCATCATCCTCAGAGCTTACTCTCCAACCGAGTTTAGTGTATTTTGTGAGCGGAACGCGGGCAGCCGGTTTACACACAGCAATGGCCCGCAAACGGCCGTGAAGCGAGTGATTAATTTTATCTGGGGGTTTGCCAGACAAACCTTTTTTTTTGGACGTGCGTCTGACACCCGCGGAAACTCTTATCCAGGTCAGACTGAGAATTCCATGGTGTCGCATGGAAATTTCCATGTATGTATTGGAATGGGACAAGACACATTGCCAAACGCCAAGGTTTGGGGAGGACCCCAGGGCATTTGACAGCAGAAGCTTTTTATGGGGCGGGCAGGGGTGGGGGTGAAGTCGGAGGTCGGAGGGGGCGAAATCACGACCAAAGACGCTGGAGTGATCGGCAGACTCCTTTGACGTGTTGTCCTCCCCATCGAAAAGGGCATCTTTGAGGTGAAATCCAACACCAGGCTCATGCCCGAGATTAAAGCAAATTCATCCCAAATAGGTAGCGGCAGTTGAACTTTAAAATACACAGTCACTACACTTTACAGTTAGTTCTGTGCAGCGCTTTATAATAATAATGATGCTGGTATTTGATATAGAGTCTTATCACGTCGTTGAGATGCCTCAAAGTGCTTCACAGAATATATTCTGTAAAGTGGAGTGACTGTGTATTTTGTGGACAAAACACAGCAACCAATTGCTCACAGGAGTGTCCCACAAAACAGTCGTGGAGTGACCAAAATATTGATTATTACCCCTTGAAAGTGATCCGCCAATCGACTAACAACCGGGTTCCTACTTACTCCTCGCTAAACAGAGACGTGTGGAGAAAGGAAACTTGCAACATTTGGGGAGCATTTTGACAAGTGGCCGTGACATTAGCTCTTTAAGACTTTTGGCGACTCAATCCACGACTGTTTGTGGGGCGCTGCTGTGCGTGGATTAGCTGCTGCGTTTTGCTCACAAAATACACAGTCAATTCACTTTACAAGCGCATCCGTGAAGCGCATTGAGACGTCTCAAAGACATGATAAAGCTCTATATAATAATAATAATAATAATCCTCGCATTTGATATAGCAGCTTATCACATCTTCGAGACTTCTCAAAGCGCTTCACAGGATATACTGTAAAGTGAATTGACTGTGTATTTTGTGGGCGTATATCAAATGCAAGGACTATTATTAAGACCGAGAATGTTCTGGATAACGTGGGGGAATCAAGTTTCTTTTTCAGTTTAAAACTCATTAAGCCCTCCCTTGGCTTCCTATCACCCTATCCTGTTAAGTCAAGCAGTTAAGGCAACGGTGCGATTGGCATTGAGAGCAGACAGGGGCACTATTGGGCCCTGCGCACTGTGTCATTTCACTCTGAACAAAAATAATTGGTTATATCCCTGTCATTTCTCTCACAAGACCTTTCCCCATCAGCTGATGTCGTAAGAAAGTTTTGCAAAGTTTATTACAAAGCAGTTCACTGGGTGAGCAGTTACTGACCAGGAGAAGTTGGTGAGTAGAGTACACCACACACAGTTTGTGGCCCAGTTTTCATAGTGTGTGTTTTTTTTAATAAAGTTTCCAAAGTTAGCGAATGCTAGTAAAATTTTTTGACTATTTAAGTTAATTTCTTGAAAATCTTTTCTGAGTTTCTCACCCCAGGCCTTGGCCGATTAACTAGTGTTTCAAACTTTTCTTTTCAAAAGTTGACGTTAGTTCAAGCGACAGACGCTTTAAGCTTCTTTTTTTAAAAAAAAGGGAAAAAAAACACTTAAAACTATTAAGTTTAAAAAGTTGCCAGAATCAGTGTAAGTGTAGGGCGCGGTGGCATTTCGAGTTCATTGTTTCTATCAAGCGAGACTGTCTCTATCCTGTTGCTGCTTTGTGTTGAGGCTGCGGGAGTCTTTAAGACGTCCTTTAAAAAAAAGTTTAATGTTCTTTTTTTCCTCTCCCCACCCCCCCCACACCCCCACCTCTTCCCCACCAGCTCAGACAGGGTTCATTGACTCACTATGGCGTCAGAAGCAGGAGAAAAAATGGAAGTGTCTACTGCAGCTGCCGATCAGCAGGGAGCCACAGACCAAGAGGTATTTTAGAAACGTAGTAATTGCTATTTGATAAAAGACCCAAATCCATCTATTCCTCCTTCTGCCATCCGGGTAGTCGCATGTGACAATAATGGGGATGTTATTATTTTATTATTGCGGAGTCCTGTAGCTCAGTGGTTAGAGCACTCGCCTCGCAAGCGAGAGACCTGGGTTCGATTCCAGGCAGAGCGAAATATTGGGCAAGTTTCCTTACTCCACACACACACGCACACACACACGCGCCTCTGTTTACCTCGCAGTAAGTAGGAACCCGGTTGTTAGTCGATGGGTGGATCGCTTTTCCGGGGGTAATAATAACTTCAAAAGAATTGGTCACTCAATCCGCGGCTGTTTGTGGGACGCTGCTGTGCACAATTGTGTCGCCCACAAAATATATATTCAATTCACTTTACAGTATATTCTGTGAAGCGCTTTTGAGGCGTCTCGAAGACGTGATAAGGTGCTACAGGAAGGATTGTTATTATTTTTATTTTCTGATCTTGTCCTTACAAGTACACCCCCTCCTCCCCCCACCTTCTGTCTCCCTAATCAAATGTGTAACTTTGTTGACCAGGGTGAAATCCTTGCATTTGATATGACGTCTTAATAATAATAATAATAATGACTTCTAGCTAAACTCAGTAAACTCTCCAAAGAAACTTGCCTATAAACAGTCGCTATGCTTTGAGATGGGGTTAGCACTTGTATGCAGTGTATTGAATACAAGGATTATGTATAGTCCAATTTAATTCTTCAGGCTTGACAATGGATCGTGTGTTTTTTTTGTTAAATCTACAAGTTTTAAATTCTGCCAGATAATGTCATGTGCTGATTTCCAGCACTAACTGCACAGATCAGTGCCTCCAGCTAACAAAATTATTGGTGCTGATTTGTTGGGCTTTCGGTGATAATTAATTCAGCAACTACTTCTGACTCGATTGTCAACTCATTTAGACCTTGTGACTGTCAGGAGGTTGTGGATTCAAACAACCTCGTCAGGACTATGATCTCAGTCGAGGCTGATACTGTAGAGCTGGGGGGGCGGTGGGGGGGGGAAGAGAATAGCACTGTGTTGTTGGTTGTGCCTTTCTTTTGGATGAGACATTAAACCGAGGCCCCGTTTGTCTGTTCAGCTGGACGTTAGTTTCCATGACGCTGTTTTTGAAAAAAGGAAAAAAAAGAGAATTTCTCCCGGTGACCCGGGTAACCGTCTCCCCAAATAATCCACTTCATTCCCAGCGGGATATTCCAACGTGCAAACTGGCTGCTGTGTTTGCCCACAAAATGCACATTCACTTCCACTGTAAGAAATTCCACGTGGAGCGTTTTGACGATCCAGGACCTGAATCAGATGATATTGATGATGATAGCCAATAGCTGACGTTATCTCGTCCATATTCTGATCGCCTGCAGTTGGCACTTGTTGTATTGGGTTTTGAGTTATGTGTGATCTAGATAAGGTGGGGGTCTTTTGACTGGGTCACTGAGGAGATCTTATAGAGGTGTTTATACCCGTTCAACCTCCATTCAGCAACAACCATTCCCCCTATCAACAACCATCCTGGACAGAGATTCTATACATGCCAACGATAATAATATAAATAATAATCCTTACATTTGCTATAGTGCCTTTCATGTATTTCGCTCAAAGCGCTTCACAGTATTTCCTGTAAAGTGAATTGACTGTATATTTATGGGCAAAAGATAAACCCTTACTCAGAGGACACCTTTATATAAAGGCCACTTTGATGGGTTGGTAAAGACGAGTTTGACTGGGTATTTTTTGTGTGTGTAACATGTGTGTATATTTTTTTAAAAATTTGGGTCACTCAATCCAAGACAGTTTGTGGGATGCTGCTGTGTGCAATTAGCTGCCGCATTTCGCAGCAAAATGTATTCAAAATCTATTCTGTGAAGCGCTTTGAGACATCTCAACGACGTGATAAGGTGCTGTACCAAATGCAATGATTATTATTTATTATCTTTTTTATATTTATATATATATATGATGAGAAATGAGAGAAAGACTATAAATGCAGGACTTTCAGGCTTTCAGATGCACCAAGGCAGCAGGACAAATGGTTACAAGTTTAGGAGAAACTGCAGAAAGTAAAGTATTTGTCTGGGTTTTTTTTAAAAAGCTCCTGGAATGAGTGACCAGGAAGGGTGGTGGAGGCCAGGCCAGGAGGCGGAACTCACTTTAAACCTCTGGACGCTGGCACAGAAAGGATGAGACAAATAGCAAGGATTATTAAAATGGGCTAACGCTGAGTTCAGATCTAATCTAAATTGCAGGAACGTATCACGCAAAGTATTTTAGTTCTCGTAATCTGGGCTCCAGCTTTGTTTGGTCGAGTTCCCTGATTCTACACTGGAGTCCTGTTGCCTTCTGCTTTACAACGAAAGCCAGGCCTGATTTGGACAGTCTTTGCCTGTCTACACAAGGGCCTTGTTTTCCACAAGCAGCTGCCGTTGTTGGCTGTATTTAGTGCGGCCAACTGGACTGAAACCTCAATGGCTTTGAATCTCTGCTCTTCAACCACACGGTGTGTCTGAAATCGGATTGAATATGCAAATAGCTAGTTGACCACAAAGGATCAAGGCGCTCCCACTGATTTCCCCAGGAGCTGTTGTGAAAATCACGACTAACACGTAGCAGCATATGAGTAAGATTCTTTCCTGTCCTCTCGGTAGGACTGGTTTGGGAAGACTTGGGCAGGGAATAAAATCCTTCTTGTTAGTAACTAAATGTATTGGATGTTGCTTTGTATCTCATCTTCCCTGAGCAAACTTCAGCTGTACATTAATACCCAGTAAAGCAGACTGTCTGAGCCATTAAAAATGTTACATTTTATGAATTGACTTGTCTCCAGTTTGTGAGGAATGTAATAACTTATTAATAATTCATCCTTGCATATGATACGGAGCCTTTCACGTCAGGAGAAAGTTCAAAGCGCTTCACAGGATTAACTGTAAAGGAAAGTGTCTGTATTTTGTAGGCGAACACAGCAGCCAATTTGCACGTCCCATAAAACTGTGAACTGAATGATCAATTTTATTTGGGGGATTGTTGGTCAGGGCACCTAATCTTTTTGAATAGGGGGAAATCTTTAACACCCACCTGACCAGGTAGACGACATCTTGGTTTAATGTCTCATCCTGAGGACGGCAGCAATGCAGTGCTACCTCAGCATGGTTCTAGAAGATAGGATTAGACTGAGTTCAAAGTCCCAACAGGGAGCTTGAAACCCGTAACCTTCTGACTCCGAGTGCTACCAGCTGAACCAGGCTGATGCTCAGAAGCCATAAGAAATTTTGTGTCGTCCACATTTCCCGTTAAATAGCCTGTCATACTTACTGCCAATTACGAAAGATACTGAAACGAATGATGTGTTAATACAGTCACGACGTTTGCCCTTCCTGGAATAACTTGTCATTACACAAGCACTTGGATGTAACAATCTGTTTCTGTTTCAGAGTCTGGTTAACAGGGTCACAAATCTGCCTCTGGTGAGCTCAGCCTATGACATGGTAACCGCAGCCTACAACAGCACCAAGGAGAACCATCCCTATGTGAAGTCCATGTGTGACGTGGCAGAACAGGGAGTGAAGACTCTCTCAGCCGTAGCCGTCAGTGGAACTAAACCAATCGTAGACAAATTGGAGCCACAGAGTAAGTCTTGAACTACAACCATTTGCACTTATCACATAGCGCCATCACATAGGATAATATCTCAGAGCTGTATGACACAATTTACCCTTATAGCGTCTTTAATGTCCCAAAGCATTTGTCAGTGGTGGGTTTGGGTGCCAAGCAAGGACAGAGGGAGAGGAGAAGTGACCAAAGGTGCAGTCAAAGAATGTAATTCAAACATTCGAGTTAAATCTAACCTGTTGTAGATAGTGGATTGAACCAGTGACAATATTCGACTGTTAAGACTTTCATCCAAGATTTAGAGTCTGCTTTCGCTTCCAGTAGTTCATAGTAATTTTTTTTCAAACTAGAGTACAATGACTCTATTGTAACTTGCATTTATAACCACAAGCAACAAAATAAAGCGCGTTTCACGTCGGGAGGACGTTGATTTGGACCCGAGCAGTGGGCTGGGATGGGGGGCGTGGAAGGCAGGGTAGGGGTCGGAGGGTGGCCGAAGGCACAGTCGAAGAGGAGAGTCTTGAGACTTGCTTTGAAGGATGGAGCGAGCTGAAGGGAATGTGGGATGGAGTTCCAAAGGGTGGGGGGGGGGGCGCAGAGAGACTGAAGGCCTGACCGCCCGTGGTGGGGCGGGTCGGTGGGTTACGTGAAGCAGGCTGGAGCCCGCTGAGCGGAGGGAGCGGACAGATTAATAAGGTATTAGCAAGTCACAGACGTAGGAAGGAGCAAGGTTGCAGAGGGCTGAATAGCATCCTTCAAGCAGGTAGTGTCTCAGAGTGCGTTGCAGCAATGGGGTTCGATGCAAAGCTGGATGGAGGGGAGGTGACCGAAGGCATGGTCGGAGAGGAAAGTCTTCAGGGCGACTTGAAGATGAGCAAAGAGAATATGACTAAAGAGACTGAGGCAGGGAGTTCCAGAGAACTCAGTTTCACTGTAACTCGTGGAGTACTGATTGGGGCAGTCTTGCATCATAGGCTGACTCAGTACTGTTGAACTGCGCCCCAGATTATTCATAGCCATAAATAATCTGTGTGCCTGAATAATGGCCCTAAATGCACAATGTGTGACCCTTCACCCAAATACTAGCTACACTCTTCATCTTTCCTAAATGCCCTGGATCTGATTTAGTTTACTTTGGGTTAGACTCTTATCTTTCTGTGTCTGGGCATTGTAATGGTTCCAGGCACGAGGGCTGCATTGAGCAACCACCAATTGGCTCACTTTAACTGCTTGGCATTTGTTGTCGATGTGTGCACAAATTGCCTGCTGCTTTCATTCACAATATGCACAGTCACTCCACTTTACAGATTTTTCCTGTGAAGCGCTTTGAGACATTCTGACGACCTGAAAAGTGCTACAGCAAATGTGAGGATTATTCCTATTCTACACGTGAAATTTCTATCGCCCTGCTTCTATCGGTCTTGCCAACTCTTCCCTCCACATACAGATCATTCAGAACTCTGCAATCGGTGTCCTCTCCCGCACCAAGCTCTGTGAACCTATCTCCCCCATCCTTGCCCGGTTCCACTGGCTCTTCATCCCCCAGAGGATAGAGTTCAATATCCTCGGCCTTGCCTTGCTGCTCCCTACCTCTGTGAACCCTAACTTGCTAAACCCATATTGACCTGTCTACTCCCTCTGCTCCACGTCCCCCAACCAGCCCACCCCAGCCTTTCTGCCTTCACCCTTTGGAACTTCATCCCACAGTCCTTTTGCCTCGTTCCCTCCCTCGCCTCCTTCAAAGCCCGTCTCAAGATCTTCCTCTTCGACCGCACCTTCGGCCACCTCCTACCCCTACCCTCTCTGCCCTCCACCCCTCCTGATCCCAACCCCCAGCTCAGGTGCAAATCCCTGATTGCCCAGTGAGCGCCTTGGGACGTTCTCCCAACGTGAAAGACGCTGCGTAAATGTAATTTGTCGTTGAAATTGAACAGTCGACTATTCAACCACTGATGCATGGCCAACTGTCTGCCTGTTTAATGTTGTACATTTGGGAGTTATTTTATTTCATCTAGAAAATGGTCAGAATAATATAGAAAATGGGTTCATAATTCTTGCTTGTTACGAGAATAAATATCTGTTTAAACACTGATGTATACTTTCAACGCTGACATTTTTGGCTTGTGATGGCTTAGTGACTAACTCTGGCTGAAAGGAAAAGCGAATGAATATCTTTTCTAAATGAAACAGTCACCATAGAGCTTTCATTCAGTTCTGCTGCAAAGGAGTGATGGGGAGGCCGACCGTATTATATGTATTGTGTAAACCACGGGCACAGAGGGAATTTACAAGTACCTTTAATTATAATTAATCAATGAAAGTATTGGTTGTTATTTAGTCCTGTTATGTTTAATTACATAATTAAAGATAACTGTAATTCCCACTGTACACACGGTTTACGCAAAACACTTTGGATTGTGTATGAAGCCCTTTCTGTGTGGCTGGGAGCCGAATACAGTGTGACATACAGTCCCCTTCCAGTTATAACATTTTTCAGTAACTGAAGGTTTGTATATTAAAAATATAATGGCTGAAGCCTCTGATACTCCATGCCTTGATCCCTCTGGCTCCCCCACTTACTCCCCCACCATTACCCCACCCCTGACCATCCACCTTTAAATCCCACACAAAAATCCTCTTTGCCTGTACCGCTTCCTCCTACTTCAGCTGTTCTCAGCATCCAACTGCTACTGTGAAGTGTTCAGATGTATAAATGCAAAGCGTAAGTATGTGCATAAATGTATCCTCCCTCCACCCCCCAAAAAAAATGTGCACTTAATACAGAGCCTTTCACATCGGGAGAACATCTCAAAGTGCTTCGTTAGGATTCACTGTGTATTTTGAAGGCCATTATTAGATCCACAGGGTACCAGAGTGTAGTGCTGACTGGCACATCAGCTACTGCAACTCTGGACATCAGCAGGAAATGCTCACAAGAACAGTTGCCGCCTCACCCTCTGTGAGGCTTCATCTTGGTAACATCGCTTGTGCCCTCACGATCCAACCCCCAGTGACCAACTGCTGTATAATGCAACCTGTTCACAAGCTTGTTTTAGGGACTCAAAACGTGGTGGTTATAACAGGAGACCAACTGTACTACACACCTGCCCAATATAGGCACGTGAGACTACAGTAGGTTATTTTAAATGTTTTTCTTTGTTCAGTTGCCGCAGCGAGCGAGTATGCCTGCAGAGGCTTGGATAAACTGGAGGAGAAGCTTCCAATCCTTCATCAGTCTACAACCCAGGTAGGAAGCAGATCCATAACCCACTGACAGGCTTACGCGATGCACCACAGCTGTAGCTTGTGACAGCAAAATGGGAGCTTTGCAATCCACCAAATCGTGCTGGAAGGAAAGCTAAGGGTTGCAGAGTAGGTGAGCACGACTGGTAGAAGCTTTATGGGGAATGAGAATAAGACAGGGCGGTGGGGTTGAATGAACTTGCTCCTTCCTCTTAGAGCTGGCTCGGACTCGATGGGCTGAATGGCCTCTCAACGCTATAAACATCTAGGATTCTAACCTAGAAAATGCTCAGATTAATCTAGAACATGAATGTGCAATTCTTTCTTGGGTCCAGAATTCTGCGTAGACTAATCCACTGCCATGGGATTCATCAGGGTAAACTTGCAAAAGTGTACGAAATGGTGCTGCCTTACTACTTGATACGGGGGAGTGCTTATTCTGGCTTTTCAATGGGATCCTTGAACAAGGGGATTACAACACAAAATTACAGGTGCAAAGCTCCTTTCACGTCGGGAGGACGTCCCATAAACAATGTTTGTTGCATCAAATGGTATCGTTTTTCACCTGGGGGTCAGGAGAGATTTGTGACAAACCACAAGCGATGTCTGTCTGCATACATGGTGTCCTCTTGTCCTCACAGGTTGTTGCTGATACGAAGGAGCTGGTGACTTCAACGGTAACCAATGCTAAAGACGCCGTCTCAAATGCAGCCACTGGAGCCGTGACTGGTGTGGTGGACATGGCCAAGGGTGCAGTGCAAGGTGGCTACGAAATGACCAAAGCTGCCGTCGTTGGAAGCGTCAACACTGTGATCGGCTCCAGAGTGGGTCAGATGGTGGTCACTGGTGTGGACACTGCCTTGGCTAGATCAGAAGAGATGGTCGATCATTACCTTCCCATGACTCCAGATGAGTTGGGTAAGTGATGCCACGTGGATTTGAGGATGGAACTTTTTTGTTTTGTTTTGTTTAGCCGGCGGGTGTCTGACATGTGGAAACCCATCACTGTTGCTTAAGAGTATCCAAACCCAACTGAGATTTCCATGCATCCCACCTACACATGGAAATCCCAGAGATAGATTGTTGGAATGAATGCTCACTCTCTCCCTGGAGGGAGGATCCTGCTTACCTAATTCCAGAAAGTATTAGGTGCAGGTTGGCAAGAGCCAAGGCTTGGGGAACCCCAATTTATAAGCGGGTGAGATGAAATTAAATCTTAAGGAGTAAGTTTACTTGTGTGAACCATACCCAGATCGAGTATACAGCTGGTAACTTGCCTCCCTTTTGAGTGTCTTCACCCAGAAAGGAAGCTTTCCTACTTGTGTATTTCCAGCCTGTTATAGAAGGAGAAAAAGTGCTGGTGAAATGTTAGTAAATCAATGTTTACTTGATGACTGTGCCATTTAACCCTGAGACACTGTGAAGGGCTATATAATAATATAATAATAATCCTTGCATTTGATATAGCGCCTTATCACGTCTTTGAGACGTCTCAAAGCGCTTCACAGAATATATTGTAAAGTGAATTGACTGTCTATTTTGTGGGCTAATGCTCTGAGTACAGAACATCACAGGAGGTTAGTGTGTAGAGTCTGAAGAAAACCTAAAGCTTGAGCTCTGAGAGAATGTAAATAGGAGGAAGGCAAGAGTTTGAGTTTTGGAGCCTGGTTCAGAATGAGGTTAACAGTAAAGATAAATATGTATGAATTATTTGGCGATGTTTGAAGGAAAAGCTCAGAGGAGCAAATTAATGACATATATTGTTGGCAAACAAAGATCTAACAGCTCAGTGCATCTACAATGCGCCCATCTAGGAATTCTCTGCTGTGCACCTGGGCCGCTTTTGTTGTAGCAGCCGTTTGATCAATTTTTACGGGAACCGGAGTTAGTTTGCCGGCTTCAAACAAATAAATTAACATCATTATGGCAGGTTCTTAAAGTGAGAAGCAATGGTCTGTTCAACTTTTTTCTTCAACTGTATCTCTAAGTCTGGTCTTTAACCCTTTCAGCTAAGATAGCAGCTTCTGTTGAAGGCTTTGAGGTGGCTCCAACACAGGATCAGAGCTATTACGTGCGTCTGGGATCCTTGTCTTCCAAAGTCCAGCAGCGTGCCTATCGCCATTCAGTCGCCAAGATGCAGCACGCCAGGCAAAATGGCCAGGACATTCTCTCTCAGCTCCACAACACTGTAGATCTGGTAAGAATGATGCTGATCACAATACTTCACGTCGATTGGTGGATAATAATAATAATAATAATCCTTGCATTTGATATAGCGCTTTTCACGTCGGGATAGCTTTTACATAGTCTTTCTCTAGCTCAGAGTCACTTCAAACCTTCCACCTAGGAGTCCTGTAGCTCAGTGGTTAGAGCACTCACCTCGCAAGAGGGAGGACCTGGGCTCGATTCCTGGGCTGGGCGAAACATTTGGCACGTTTCCTTACTCCACACGGTTGCTAGTCAATCGGCGGATCGCTTTTCCAGGGGTAATAATCCCTTAATATAAAAATTATTATTTGGTCCCTCAACCCATGACTATTTGTGGGACACTGCTGTGCTCCATTGCCTGGCACATTTCGCCCTGAAAATACACAGTCGATTCGCTTTACTGTATATTCTGTGAAGCTCTGTGAGATGCTTTGAAGACGTGAAATGGCGCTATATCGAATGCAAGGATTATTATTATCCGGGCTCTCTCCAGTTCTGCTTTCCTCCACCTCTGTCTCGTCTGCCTCTGCTACCAGACTTTCCACCTTCTCCCGACACAAGCTGCAAACCATCAAGACTGAGCGGGTCAAATCCTCTTCCACACTAGCCCCTGGCAGCCCATGCCTCAGCGGGCTGAATTTGAGATTCTCGTCCAGGGCCTCGCCCCACCCCACCTTTGCCACCCTCCTGCCCTGCCCACCCACTCCCTCCGGCCTGCCAACACATCCCTCATCCGTTCTGCCGCAGCATTGTGGGCAAACCTTCAGCCACTCTCTGTCTCTGTTCTCTACAACTCCATCTCTAGCCCTGCCTTCTCCCTCTCCACCTTCAAAATCTGCATTAAGACCCATTTCTTTAGTCGTGCTTGCGGCCACATTTTTCTTCTCTTCCCCCCCACCCCAAAAAAGAAGCTCAGGCCCTCAGTCAGTTGTGTGAAGTGCTTTTGAGACAAATCCTGACATGAAGTGCGTTGTGTAAGTGTACATTTTTGCTTTCCACTGAAGTGCCTGCTACTGTAGGCTCATCAGAACAACTTGCGTTTATCTAGTGCCCTTCACATGGGGTAGTGTCTCAGAGAGCTTAACAGGCGCTGTTAACTCTTAAAGGATTGAGGCAGAAAATCTCGAGGTGTAGTGGCTGAAAACACGACCGCCAATGGTGGGAAGAAAAGGATGAGGGATGTGCAGACATCCAGAGCCAGCTGAGCAAACTGAGCTGGTAGAGAAGTGGGCCGTAAAATGTGGTGCTGTGTGTTCCACAGTGTCTTGCTGTAAGATACCTGATCAATTAATATTCTACATGAATATCGTACGATGCATTTAATCCACCTTAATATATTGACTGACTAGAGTTGAGGCTTAAGAGATTTCAAAGAATGAGCTAATGACAGACAAGAAGAGTACCTTAGCCGGTAATTTGCATTGCAGTGATTCTGAATGTTTGACAGTTATTGTTCTATAATTACAAACTGTCGTACTGTGTTTCAATGTCTTACTCTGTACTTTGGCTCTTTCCCACCCACCCCACGCCCAAAAGAATTGCTTTCATCTGAGAGAACACTCAGTTTATAGTTGTGTAACATTTTAAATGGTGATTGACAAAGTAGTAAACCCGGAACGATACTTAGGGATGCATCATCAAGGCAATAGAGACCCAAGGACATGGGGTTAGAGGGTCAAAATGGAATTTCAGGACTGACACCAGAAAGTTATCCTTTCCTCCGAGGCTAATTTTGTTGTTGTTGTTGTAATTAACAACTGGAAACAGGTTGCCAGGAAAGGTGGTTAAGGCCAAGACATGCTTTCAAAGACAGCTTGATGCTGTGATGGAGGGGATGATAGGGTGGGTGTTCTGGAGGGATGAGATCAGTTGGGCCGAAGGGCCTCTTTCATCCAAATTGATCTGGTGGTCCCTGAACTGGGACATCTCAGTAACTTGTTGGGATGATTTCTACCCACCGACTATATGCTTTATGTTGGGTTGGTTGGGGGCGGTGTACAGCCAGTATGCAGACTATTGAAGAATAAGATAATGTCACTGGTACTTTTACTTAAGGCTAGTTATGAAGCGGCAAAGTGATTCGGAACAGCCAGCTTGTGGATTGATCATTCGATTCCTGAGAGCAAAATTGCACCATCTCAATGTTTCTCCTTAAATTTTAAACGATTGGGAAGAGTAGAGATAAAAGATACCTAACTGTGTAAGTACTTGGGCTGAAATCATGGTGACTGCAACCGCCAGTTGCTGCAAATCTCCATAAATTGTCCTCATGTAAAGCTGTCACTCAGATAAACCACACTACGATGGGGGATGCAGAAATTGCACTGTTGTGTACCCAGGCCTCAGACTTAATATTATAATATTATAATAATCCTTGGATTTGATACAACCCCTCATTACATTGTCGATGGCTCAAGCACTTTGCAGGATATGTTGTAAGGTGGTAGTGACTAGTTTGCGGGTGAATATGGCAGACAATTTGTGCACAGTAACATCTCACAAATAGCTGTGTAGTGGCTTTAGTTTAGTAATTTTAGTCAGAGGTTAGCCACGAGTTGAATATTTGACATCTGACAAACGTAGGAACAATTTTATTCAGGGGATTGTTGACCAGGACATTGGGAGAAACTCCCTTCTCTTTTTGTGTAGTGCCACGAGATCTTTAACATCCATTTATCTTCTCATCTGAAGAACAGCAAGCCCCAGAACTGCATTGGATTGACAGCTACATCTTGACCTGTGGCTTGATTTCTCCCACTTGATGCCCCTTCCCGAATCTCTTAATTTATTGCTAACTTTATTTTTTTCAGATTGAACTGGCGAGCAAAGGAGTAGATACAGCAAATCAGAAGCTGCATGTCATTCAAGAGAAGTTTCACCAGACCTGGGTTGACTGGAATAAACAACAGCCAGGAGCAAACACTGATGAAGTGCCTCCAAAACCCGCAGAGGTAGGAATCCCGGAGTGAATTATTCCTGCCACTTGTTGCTGGAAGAATGGTGTAGTTTAGCGCACATTCCTAGATCTGTCGCTAACCTTGACTCGCCCAGTCAGGCAATTCTACCTGAAAGGCATTTATATAGTGGCCTTCACACATAGCGTCTCGGATTGCTGGAAAGAGACTATGTCCACATAAGCTGGATTCCTGTAGCTCAGTGGTTAGAACACTCGCCTCGCAAGCGAGTGACCTGGGTTTGATTCCTGTCAGGGCGAAACGCTGGGCAAGTTTCCTTACTCCACACGCCTCTGTCTACCCAGCAGTAAATAGGCACCCAGTTGTTAGTCGATTGGCGAATTGTTTTTCCGGGGGTAATAATTCCTTCAAAAAAATAATAATTTGGTCACTCAATCCACGACTGTTTGTGGGGACACTGCTGTGTGCAATTGGCTGCCGCATTTCACCCACAAAATATGCACTCAATTCACTTTACAGTAGATTCTGTGGAGCGCTTTGAGATGTCTTAAAGATGTAATAAGGATATAGCAAGGATTACTATTAAGTCCACATGAGTTGGATTCAACTTGTTTTTGTTTGTATTACAGCAGCTGGAATCCCAAACCCTCAGCATGACACGGAACCTGACCCAACAGCTACAGACCACCTGCCTGACCCTGGCCACCAATGTCCACGGCCTTCCCCAGCACATCCAAGACAAAGTCCAGCAGATCCGCAAATCAGCCGAGGATATCCACACCTCCCTCTCGTCGGCCAGCTCCTTCCGCGACCTCTCCGGGCAGCTCTTGGCGCAGAGTAAAGAGCGCATGTCTAAGATACGGGAGTCGATGGATGGGGTTCTGGACTACGTGCTTCACAACACTCCCCTTAACTGGCTGGTGGGACCTTTCGCCCCACAGGTGATCGAGCATCCTGAGCCCATCGCAAACCCTGAGCCACAAGAAATGGTGGAAATGAAGTGAACTGGAGAATCTGCTTCGCTCCCCTCACTTGGGGTAGATGGCCAGGCCTCGATCTGAAACCCAGTGTAATTGTCTGTCTTACCAATAAGTGTGTTATTGTGTGCGCTAGTTTCTGTCTGTATAATAAGCAGTAATCACACTGGAGAATTGCCAAAATCCTTGCATCTTCAAATCACTTGTTTTTGATAGTACTAAAAAAAATTGGGTAATATTTCTAATGGCTCTACCATTTTAATGTACGGAATCAAATATTTCAATCCGTCTCCTAACTAGCCATTTCCCTGCTCGTGTTTCGTATAAAAGTTCCTGCCCCGGTCCAATTTCTTGTGATTTCTGTGGAATTCTGAAACTGAGCTCTTTTTGTTGTCGCCGAATGTCACAAGGCTACTAACTCCTTGACTGCAGCTAACTTATCCAATTAACAATGCTGCCGCTGGGTGTAATAGTTGCACCGACCCTCCCCAGGCTTCCAGCTGTTTTAGGATTAAGGATGTCAGAATGATTCCCCCGCAAACTGAAATTTAATAGAAAATGAAAATTCAACAGCTGGATTTGATTCGCGGGTAAGATCAATTTCGAGTAGTGCTATCTATAGTGATTGCAGAAATTCAGAACTCCCATTAATGTGCGCAGGAAGCCACATCTGCTAACCCCAAATTCTCTAACCTTTCGGGACTTAATTACACTTGGCTTTGGGTTTCGTTGAATGTCTGGATACAACTAACACACGTTCAAATTCTGCCTCCTTCTGGAAAGCGAGTTAAAAGGCATGTTATTCTTTGTCCTTTTGTTTTACGCTAATAATAAACACTGCATTCAAACTATTTGGTGTTACGGAGTGATTTTTGCACTGATCTGACCCCATTTGTCTACTGGAAATCTCACATGGCATTGGAGAAACCTACAACAACAATTTGAGTGGGGGGGAGCTAATCAAATTATTATAACCTATTGGTATTTGGGGCTTCTCACACCTGTTGCTATGAAATTTATTGCAGGTCCACTTACCCCACAAGCTATTATGTATTTGAATCAAAGGCCTTTGCACTTTTCTTTAATTATGTTTTGGCCGAGAGAACCTGATTACGCAATGGATAACGTGTACCAACACATTTCTAAATAGGGCTGATCCCTTTCCTGGGACAATAATCCCTGCAGTAACAACAACATCTCAAAGTGCTTCACAGGTGTTTGCAGTGAGGTGTGTATTTGTAGGTGAGAACAGCCGTGTCCCACAAATACTCAGGACAATTGACAATGAACGATTCCAACTCCTTCATTTTCAATTGCCCTTTGCCTTCATTGGTATGCAGAGAGTCTAGCAGCTGCTGCTAATGCTTCCAACTGCTCAATGGGAAGGGATTTGTGTCCGAGCTGTGGGCAAGAGGATAATAATAATCCTTGCATTTGATATAGCACCTTACCATATCTTCGAAACGTCTCAAAGCGTTTCACAGAATATACTGTAAAGTGAATTGAATGTACATTTTGTGGGTGAAACACGGCAGCCAATTGTGCACAGCAGCGTCACCGCAAACAGTCGTGGATTGAGTGATCACATTTATTATTTTTTGAAGGAATTATTACCCCTGGAAAAGCGATCCGACAGTCGACTAACAACCGGGTTCCTACTTACTGCTCGGTAAACAGAGGCGTGTGGGTGGAGTAAAGAAACTTGCCCAACGTTTCGCGCTGCCGGGAGTCAAACCCAAGTGGACCCTCTTTGGCGGTCTCAGAAGTCTGTCTCCCGAGCCAAGTGGGCACTGCTGATGACAGACTAGCCAGCCTGGGTCATTAGCTGGATGAGGAGGGGCAGACACAGGAAGCAGCGATTTTTTTCCCATTCAGCTACTGTTAACCCTGTAAAGCAAAGTCCTAACGGGTAGGGTGGTCCAAACTGGACGAGCATCGGGAAGATTGACAGACAGCACTTTCAATGCTACTGTACAGATACTCTTAAACATGGTGTGGGATTTCCGCATGTGTCAGAGACCCTACTGACCCCCCAAAAAATCGATCGCCTTTGCCACTTTGTTAATTGCTGTCATTATTTTGAACATCTAAATCAATACAATGCTGGAAAGCAATCAGAGGAATACAGGAAGAACCCTACATCACAAGTGCATTGGATTTATCCGAAGAACTATTGAACAGTCCTGGACTTGACCTACTTTCAATTATCCTCTGTGCCAAGGATGGAGCCTTGGGCTACCCCGCAGGTGACTGGGCAGGGTGGGAGGAAAAAACATTTGTGAAGACAAAGTGATGGCGGTTGGTTAAGTAGGACTCAAACCAGGTGAGTGCAGTCCCACTGAGGTGGATGAGAGAGAAGAGGTGCCAGACAGCGTTTTCAATGGCAAGCTATGCGATTTGAGCTGGTTAGATTCCAGCAGTTATCCCAACGCACTCTCTCGGTCCCCAAGCCTTGGCGCTTGCCAACGTCTGCTAAATACTTTCCAGAATTAGATAAGCAGGATGTGATGTCGCTCTCCAAGGAGTGAGAGCACGTTCCATTCGAAGAAATATCTCTGAAATTTCCATGTGTAGGTGGGATGCATGGAACTCTCAGTTTGGTTTGGATACTCTTAAGTGCAGTGCTGGGTTTCCGCATGTGTCAGACACTCAGCTGACCCAAAAAAAAGGGTCACACAGGAGGCCTGAATGAGCTGAACGAAGGGGACAGTTAGAAGTGTGGGGTACAAAGATGTCAGAGAGGTAAAGGTGTAAAAAACTCCTCATTATCTAACCTCTCAATGCCTTACAAATGACACTTGCTCTCAATTGTGTGTTGTAAAGCTTCCCGCAACAGTTTTATTTCCTCCATTTAAGTTTCGCTTTCCGATTCATCATTTAGCAACTTTTCACCCAGTTTCATGTCCACCTGCTTCCCAGTCTGTGCAAATGCATTAAATTAGTTCCAATTGAATTAAATTCAACATGTTAACTGGACACCAGATTTTCCATGGAGTTGAATTGTAAACCAATTGACATGTTACTTGACACCGTCTACAGACACATTCAATTGGTCGTAGGATGGATCTTCTTTTCTTGAGGTGAATTTCTAATGGTTTGATCTGTTGTCAATCTTAATGTGTTTTTTCCTCCTCCACTCCCCCACCAGCTGATAGCCTTTGGGGTGGGGTGTATAAAATGAAAAGAACAAGCCTGTGTGCCAAACAGTGGAGGTGTGAGCAAGTGAAGTGACTGTTAGGTAAGCAAGGCTTGAGCATAATATCCCTATTTCCCCCAATATTTCAGAAATGGATGTGAAAGTATGTAAAATATTGTTGGTTAACTACTGGGATGGGGGTTGTAAAATATCTACTTTCTTTTTTTAAAAAAATACTCTTGTGTTTTACAGACCTTTGCTGACCAAAAGTAGTCTAGAAATTCCTTCCTGTATTTCTTTGACTCTGCCTGGCTCAAGGAAGTGTGTTCAGAAACTACAATAATAATAATAACTACAATAATAATCCTTGCAATTGAGATAGTGTCATTGATATATCTCAAAGTGCTTCACAAAATAGAGTACAGTAAAATGTAGTGACTATTTTGTGGGTGAAACACAGTAGCCAATTGCACTTAGTGGTGTGCCACACTTGTTATTAATGCTATAACTATTATCGGTGTAGAATTGTGCCCCCACCACCCTGTGGCTTTCTTCTTAAACAGGCTCTTTCTAGTGACCCATCATGGCATCAACTGAGAATGTTTCCAAAGCAGAACAGCAAGAGCCAGAAACCCAGCAGGTAACTGTCGAGGGTGAATTTGGAAAAAGTGCCTTTTTTTTAAATTTTTTTAAAAAAAAACTCACTTTAAAGCCTCTTATTTGACTTTGCCGCTTAAGCTCTAGATAATTGTGACCTCTTTTGGGTCTGGATACACTTAAGCTCTCAAGGATCTATTTACTCTTAAACATGAAAGTAACCATGCAGTTGGATTCCTTTCCCAACTAATTCTGATTAAGGTTTCTTAGCGTGATAGTGACTACTGGCTTCTCTATGAATGCTACATGTGGTGCTGAAGCAATAAGTGAGTGGAACTGCCCATTGACAAATACTAAAGTTATTTATATAGTGCCTCTCCTAGGTTAGTAGGTGCTTTACACCTGAGCTGGAGAGTGGGGTGTGGAGGAAAGGGGAAAATTAACTGCAGGTGTGTCAATTAGAAATGTCTAGAGATGGACTTGAAGATGGTGGTAAGCTGAACCTATTTGCCCACTAAGAGGCTATAATGGACAACTGAAAATGCCCACATAACTTGGAAAAGAAGACTAATATATATACCAACTATTTTGCAGTTTTAAAGGTTTTTTTTGTTTTTCCCCACTGACACTAAATCAAAGACGTCATGATAATTGTGACACTGGACTGACTAGTGCCCACCTTTGAATGTACATTAACTTGCCATAATTCTATGCCGCTATTTCAGAGTGTGGTTGAAAGAGTAACAAACCTGCCTCTAGTGAGCTCAGCCTGTGACACGGTATCAGCCGTGTATGACAACACGAAGGAGAGCCACCCCTATGTGAAGACTGTGTGTGATGTGGCTGAGCAGGGAGTGAAGACTCTGTCCACTGTGGCTGCCAGTGGTGCCAAACCCATTCTGGACAAGTTGGAACCTCAGAGTAAGTGACCTGGGTCTTTATAGAGCTTAAACTGAGCTTCCTCACTTAAGCTGGAGGGCCTTGTACGCTAGACTTGTAGATGCTCAAAGTGAGATCCTAGGACCCATTATTCTGAGTTTGTATAAAGCTGAGTGTAAGTTTTAGCTTAAATATGTCAGCTCGGCTAAGTCAGTGGCACTCTCGCCTCTGAGGCAGAAGCTTCAAGCCCCACATCGGGACTCGGAATCACAATTCGGTGCTGGGCGCGTGTTGCATTGTCGGAGGCACCGGCCTTTGGACGAGATGTTAAACCAAGGTCCCCTGTTCAGGTGGATGTTAAAGATCCCACTGCACGATTCAAAAAGAGAAGGGAGTTTCTCTTTCCTGGTGTTTTTGGCCGACAATCCCCCGAATAAAATTGGTCACTCGCTCCATATTTGACCTCCGTGCCACACAAAGCTGTATGTCAATGAAATCTTGGCGGTCACGTTTTTTTATATATAAGCGGCTGGTTAAACGTTGGGCCACGTTTTCTGACAAAACAGTCTGAGCTGATGCTTCAGCATTTCACTTGCTCCGAGCAGGGATTGTTTTGTAATCTACTGAGCACCACCGGTGCTGCCTTGTATTTTTCGATGCTCACAATTGTCACTGGTATTGAACTTTCTGTGCTCAGTTTCAGCTGTTAATGAGTATGCCTGCAGGGGCTTGGACACACTGGAGGAGAAACTTCCAATCCTTAATCAGCCTGAAGATCAGGTGAGGGGTGGATGACAGCCAACAGAATAGCAGCTACAGCTGTAGACTAATAAAATACTAACCCGACCTTTTGCTACTGTCTTAAGTTCCAAGTCACAAAATTTGGTTTCAAGTCTCAAATTATGTTACACCATCCAATGTTTAAGATGGTGGCTGTCCGGGGGGTGTAGGGGAGAGAAAAAGAGATGGAGTTATATAAATTCTACGCCAGGGCAGTCAGCCCTGTTTACTGTGAAGTTGATGGTAAAGATGATGCTGTGATTTTATTAGATCATCGTGGCAATAATAGACAACCTTACTGGAATTTTGGCTGCAATGTGAAACTTGTTGAACAGTTAATTCTGTTGAATGTGCAACCAGTAATCATCATTAATAAGAAATAATAATAATAATAATAATCCTTGCATTTGATATAGCGCTTTTCACGTCGGGAGGACGTCCCAAAGCGCTTCACACAACACACTGTAAAGTGAATTGACTGTATATTTGTGGGCGAACGCGGCAGCCAATTCTGCACAGCAATGTCCCACAAACAGTCGTAGATTGAAAATGACCAATTTATTATTGTTTTGGTTTTGGAGGGATTATTATTAGGCTCTGTGTGGAGTAAGGAAACTTGCCCAAGGTTTCGCCCTCTGCCTGGAATTGAACTCAGGTCTGGTTAAACCCATTTGGAATTTGTGGGCTCACCTGATTAATCTGATTTATGATACATCCCTTGTCTTTAACTATTTGCTTTCACATAGTATTAAACATGTTGCTGACTGAACTCTATTTTGTTAATGTGACCAATGCAGCATTGTAATTTGATTTGGCATCCAACCAGCCAGAATAGGATATCTGTTGTAGAAAGATAACCATGCATAACTTGTGAGGAAAATCAATTGAATTTGCCATTCCAAACATTGTGTGTGTGTGCGTGTGCTCTTCTATAACCTGTCTGGCCCTGTCTAGGCTGACTTGGCTCTGTTTATCCAAGTCTGCCAAGCTTTCTTTGGTCCTCCTCCTGGCTTGAAATGTTTCTCAATTCAGTTCATTGTAACTCTCAGGTCTTTGTTGATGCCAAGGAGCTGGTGACCTCAAAGGTGACTGATGCAAAAGATGCTGTGACTGGAGTTGTTGACGTGGCCAAGGATGCTGTGCAGGAGAGCCTGAAGAGAACCACGGCAGCTGTGGCTGAAGGTGTCCACGTAGTCCTGGATTCCAAAGTGGGCCAGATAGTGGCTAGTGGTGTTGATGCCACGCTTACCAAATCTGAAGAGCTAATTGATCACTATCTACCAATGACTCAGGAGGAACTAGGTAACTTCAAATAAAACCAAGTTGCTGTAGTGTTTAGTGTCTTGCAAGTCCTTTGCCTTTTGTGGCTCACTCAGATGGTTACATAGAGAGCAGTTATTTGGTGCAAATGCAGCATTGCACCACGCAATCACTTCAATGATGCTGGGACAGTTTGTGTACAATGATTTGCATTTAGATAGTGCCCATCATGCAGGATAGTGTCCCACAGTGCTTGACAGTGGCTGAGCACGACGCCAAGTTGGTGGGGGAGGGTTGGAGAACCATAGATACGGTCGAATAGGAAGGTCTTCTGGTGCAACCTGAAGATGGGGAAGGAAGGGGCAAGGCAGTGGGATAGAGCAAGAGTGTTCCAGAGTTTGGGGGTGTGGTGACTGAAAGCTCGGCCACCAATGGTGGAACAGAGGGCACGAGAGACGTGCAGTAGGTCAGAGCCAGTCGAGCTGGTTGCTGCGTTCACCTACAAATAGTTGTTACACTTCACAGAAAATCTTGCTGAATGCTTTGAAGAGTCGAGCCGCAGTCGCTTAATAACTAAGCTAACCCACTTTGTGCTTCAGCTGAACTGGCCACTTCCGTTGAAGGTTCTGAGGAGACTCCAGGCCAGGAGAGGAGTTACTATGTGCGTCTGGGATCTCTTTCCTTGAAGGTCCGCAATCGTGCATACCAGCATTCTGTCGCCAAGATTCAGCTCGTCAGGAACAGTGGTCAGGAAACTCTCTCTCAGCTCCACCATCTCTTTGATCTGGTAACAATAACATCACAAGTGTTGCAGCTCATACGAGATTTTATTTTGTCCTGAACAGACCCAGCATATGAATTTTCAGTAAGCTGCGCAATTCAATGCAGTGTGTGGCTGACATTTGTATCTACTCGTACGCTGGCAGCCTGGCAAACAGCACTGTCTGTATCGATTGTACTCTAATGAGGTGCCATCATATAGTCAAATCTGATATATGGTGGGAAAGAACACTAACCAGCACTAATTAAACAATTTGCGTTGGCTAATGCTATCAGCATACTAAGGTGCCAAAACGATGCTTCCTAGAAAGCCGTAAGCAAGGCACTAGTTCATAACTTTACTCAGTATCAGCCAGGCTCAGTTGGTAGCAATCTTTAATAATAATAATAATTAATGATATACATTTGATAGTGCTGTTCACGTCTTCCAGATGTCTCACAGCGCTTTTAGACGTCTCAATCTCACCTCTGAGTTTGAAGGCTTTGGGTTTGAGCTCCACATCTGGACTTAACTTGCAGTCAACAACTTGCATTTGTAGAGTGCCCTTCACGTGGGATAGTGTCCCAGAGCTCAGTCTAGGCTGCACTCCAGGGCCGTGTTGCTCTGTTACAGTGCCAACCTTCACATGAAATGTTAAAGTGAGATCCTGTCCGCCTGTTCAGGTGGACATTAAAGATCCGCTGGTACCATTTCTCCTGGTATCATGGCTAACCATTTCTTCCCTTACTCCCACTCTCAATTTTATATATTAAAAAAACCCACATTCACTCCATGGCAAAACAGCTACCAAAATACAGTCACTCTGCTTTAACGTATATCCTGTGAAGCGCTTTGGGACATCTCAACGACATGGCTAAGGTTCTTTCTCAAATGCAACAAATAGTATGTTTGACTACAAAAAAGTCTCCATACTTTTACAGGAAATCCTGTGGCGCACCTTGTTGTCCTGACATCTGAGGTGCTATATTAAATGTTTGTCTTGTCTGTAGATTGAGATGTCCAAGAAAGGAACTGAACTGACTCGTGACAAACTACAGGAGGTTCAGGAAGGTCAGAACACGAAGCAGCCTGAAGATCAGACGGAGGTTCTTGATGAACCCAAAGTAATTGCTGCAAGAATTGCTCAACAACAACAAATTACATTTGAATCTAGTGTGTGAAGCCGAGGGCAAGATGATGTTGGTGACCTGATTCTTTGTGATTGTGAGGGAAGGCCCTGAACCAGGACATGCACTGGATGTGCTAAGTATTCTCCAGCACTAACACATACTACTCATGAATAATCTCTTGGTGTATTTTTTTAAATCTTAAATCTCTTAAGATCTTAAGTACCTTCTTGACTATTTGGCTCCATCTGTACACAACTCTTATGTTCATGCATCAACAATGTATGGTGGTGCCTACAAATTATCACTTTAGTCCTTTTTTTTGTCTCTTTGCAGCATCCTGAATCCAATACATTGGCAATCATGCGTAACCTAACTGAGCAGCTGCAGAAGACCTGCCTCTCCCTGGCATCCAATATCTCTGGTCTCCCCCAAAACACTGTGGACCAAGTGAAGGAGATGGGCAAAGCGGCTGAAGAAATCAGTACCTTCATCTCCTCAGCTGGTTCCTTCCAGGATCTCTCGGGGAAACTCCTGGCCCAAAGCAAAGAGCAAATGAAGAAGATTCGAGAGTCTCTGGATAGTGTGATGGACTACATGCATCACAACACTCATCTCAACTGGCTGGTGGGACCGTTCGCCCCACAGCCAATTGAGCAAACTGAGCCACAGGAGTTAATGGGCATCGACTAACCTGGTTCCAACTCCTAAGGTTTTTCTTTGTATTTACTGAAATTTGTATTCAGATTACATGAGGGGAAATCTAGCCAACAAGCTGTGGTGGGTTTGATGCCAGCAACTCTTGTGTTTGTCAATTTGAATGAATTACTTGGCCAATTTTGCAGAATATTCTGAATCTGCATTTTAGATGTGGGCTAATAACTAGATTATAATGTCTAAAGACAGTTTATAACTTTAAGTGTACAGCCAGTAATTGCATCCTGTTCTAAAGCTGCCAACATTGTTAGACACTTGTAATATTTCAAAGGGAGCTTTTAGATTTGATAAGTGTGTAAACCTTCAAAAGTGGCTTGAAGAAAAGTAGAATTGAAGTCTTAACCTATAAACAGGTGGGTGGGTGTGTGCATGTAGTTTTTTTTGTCTACTTTAACTTCAAAGCCTCCACTTTCTGTGACGTATTGTGGAACGTGCCATTTTATCTGTAACTATAATCCTGTTACATTAAATGGATTAATGCAGCCAATTACTGTTGTGATGTCTGACTGAACAAGTTATCTTGGTGGAGATATAATATCTTTAAGGTCAAGACATCCCAAAGTGCAGTGACTGTTTTGTGAGTGAACATGGCAACTGATTTGCATTTATCAATGTCCCACAAACAGCCATGAAGCGAATCCTCAATTTTTAATTGCAACTCCAGAACTGGGAAAGGAACTGGCAATGGATGTTGCTTCTTAGCAGCAGTTGGAGTTGCACATCATTGCAGTGATTGTGGCTCTATGTGGATTAACATTCAGTTGTAAATCTAGTATTTTACAATGGAGCAAAAAGCTTAGTCTTGATTAATTTAAGAATTAACAGGCCATTCATCCAATACCAGTTTCCCTAAGCTCACTTCATTTGCCCCCCCCCCCACCCCTGATCTGCTTAAAACCCCACTCCGCTACCTGCCACCTTTGTTTGGATGTATCTGGTCTTCTGCACATCCCTTGTCTCGTCTGCTCAAACATTGATGCCGTTAAGCCCTGAATCTCTAGAAATCTGCCTCAATCCCTCTCTCTGCCTTACCGGTTTTCAAATGACACCTGAAGACTTTCCTCTTCAACTGTACCTTTGGTCATCTTTCCAGTTCAGTATCAAACCACATAGCTGTTAATTGCTCTGACAATACTGTGTGAAGGGTGCTACATTATAATAAATGTAAGTTCTTGTTTCCTCTAGTATTGAAATTGATTAGTGGGTTTCAAGAGATTGAGCAGAATGCTTGGTTTATTTCCTGCCTTGAGCAAGAGGTTCTAATCATTCTGATCTAGGAATGGTGCACTGGATTAGAGTATAAATATATTGCACTATAAATACTGGAACAACCCAATATAGTTAATTACGAAAATGCCAATTAATCTGCTGCAGCTAAGAGCTAGGTGTGATCCATCACTGCCATCTCTCCTATCAAAGTAAATGAAAGGTTTGTCTCCATTTAGATTGGAAAAAGGAAAGTAACTAACATGAGTGATGTAACCCCTGAAGCAAATGGGGAACCATCCAGAATTTCAGTGTAGAAAGTTAACTCTTTAAAACAACTTGTATTTATACAGCGCTCCTCGTGTGGAGTAGTGTCTTAGAGTGCTTTACAAGTCTAATGGAGGGAAAAATGCCTTCAATACAAAAGACGATGTGAAATAACATTTGTCAAGTGCCTTCCACATCTGGAGGATTGGTTTGCTCATAAGTGAAAGGCTGTTAGATATTTCCCTAGAAATTGTTTCCACAACTAAGATCAAACTAAGAGCTTTGTTAACTTGGACCATTTCAGGCAGATACAGGGCCAGAACATTTCCTGGAAATTGTTCAAAGCCCACGGCGATAAATGACATGGCCAATGGAACAAATTGTGCTTTCAAATTGGCCCAAGGTGGCAATCGAGCTTATGCTGTTCAGTGGGGTGTGAGTTCAACCATATTTACCCTGGATTGGTCTTATTGTGCGCTTGTCTTCATGTTTGATATCAAAAACAAAAGCTCACAAGTTTAAAGCTATCTACAAGGAACATAAGAAATTGCCCTAATTAGTTTAGAGAACACGCTGGTTTGGTGTAGCTTGTTTGTCATTTCACTGAAACAGCAGCTTCTTGCCTCTCTGCAAGCCAATCAAGGTGGATGGATTCCAGGCACTGGATGTAAGTATGTGTATTCACAAACTTGGACTCAAGATAACACCTTCTAGCAGCTGTCCCTCCAAGCCTCAGTTTCCTCATCAGCTATCTGGCGTATATCTGTCCTCAGTATGTTTGTCATTTCACTTTGGAACTCCATCTCATAGTCTCGCCTCCTTCAAAGCCCGTCTAACCACCTTCCTCTTTGATTTGTGTCTTTGGTCACTTCTTACCCCTGCCCTCCACCCCTCCTGATCCCAACCCCAGTTTAGAGGCACATTGTTGACTGTCCAGCGCTTTAGGACATCCTCCCAACATGAAAGGCGCTGTATGAATATAATTTATTGTTTGCTGGGAAAGACAGGTTCGAGCACTCGCCTTGCAAGCGAGACACCTGACAGGGCGAAAATTCCCGGCAGGGCGAAACCTTGGGCAAGTTTCCTTACTCCACACACCTAATAATAATCCCTCCAAAAAAACAATAATAAATTGGTCATTTTCAATCTACCACTGTTTGTGGGACACTGCTGTGTGCAGCTGCTCTGTTTTGCCCACAAATATACAATCAATTCACTTTACAGTATATTCTAGAAGACGTGAAAAGCACTGTATCAAATGCAAGTATTATTATAAAAGACCCTTCAATTTATCAAGTCTATTCTTCTACAGATCATGTATCCTTTCTCCACCCAAATCATTCAATTTCTTGACACCGGGTTCTGCAAATCTTCTACATCCTCTCAAGGGAAAATAATAAAGTAGAATATCTCTTAATCCAGGGATCTTAAACCCATTATAGCATACACTGACCAAAAACATAAACCTGGGGCTGTCAATGTCATAGGTTTTTATAATAAATATAATGTAAAAGACATCATAAATACAATATTTGCATTTGAAACAGTGCTGAAACAACTCAAGGTGCTGCTGTCGTTATTGGCAAACAAAGCAGATAAATTTGCACAGAGCAATATCCTAACAAAAATGCTGATTATTCCTAACAGCCGTGAAATGAATGACCAATTTTATCTGGAGGATTGTTGGCCAGGCACCAGGTAAAACTCCCTTCCACCTGAACAGACTGTGACAAACACAACAATATAGCTCTACACCTGACTGTCAGACTTTAAGGTCAAGTCCCAACATAAGGCAACCTTCTGACTCCGAGGTGAGAATGCTATTGAATGATCCATGTATGAACCAGGCAGGTACTTGAGGCTTTTGGTTCAGTTACTCAGTGGATAAACTCAGCCGTCAGGGCAGCTTCAGATAACCTTTTCCAATACAATATTCTTTTGAGGCTATGGCCTGCAAGCATGTAGACAATATTCCAAACTCATGAGCTCCATAAAGGAAATCCCATTATAAAAACCTAGCACAGATTTCTATTTATATTCTCCAGGACAAAGTAGGACCTCTTGAGGAATGTCCTTGACTCATATCATTAATTTCACATTGATTGCCTATGCTCAGTGAATAGCCAACAATGACCACCAAATCACAACACTAAAATGACATTTATAGAGTGCCTTTCACGTCGGGAGGACATCCAGAGCGCTGAACAATCAGGTGTCGGGGCCTGAGACTGGGGTAGGGGTGACGGAAGGTGACCAAAGGCACAATTGAAGAGAAGGGTCTTGAGACCGGCCTTGAAGGAGGCGAGGGAGGAAGTGAGGCGAAGGGAACGTGGGATTGAGTTCCAGAGTGTGGGGACTGAGAAGCTGAAAGCCCGGCCACTGATGGTAGGGCGGGTCGGGCAGGAGACATGGAGCAGGCCGGAGCCCGCTGAACGGAGGGAGCGGGCAGGTTGGTAGGGTGTCAGAGGTAGGAGGGGGCAAGGCCGTGGATAATAATAATAATCCTTGCATTTGATATAGCGCTTTTCACGTCTTTGGCCTTGAAAGTGAGGACGAGGATCTTAAATTCGATCCTTTGGGGGATGGGGAGCCAGTGGAGTCGGGCGAGGGTGGGAGTGATGGGGTCGCGGAGCCTGGTGCGCGAGAGTACATAAGCTGCAGAGTTTTGGGTGATCTGCAGCTTGTGAAGGGAAAAGTTGGGAAGGCCGATGAGGAGAGAGTTCCCGTAATCGAACCTTGATGTGACGAATGCGTGGGTGAGGGTTTCGGCAGCCTGAGGGGTGAGGCAGTGGAGGAGTCTGGCAATGTTGCGGAGGTGGTGGTAGGCGGTGCCGGTCATGGAGCGGATCTGGGGGAGAAAGGACAGTTCAGGATCGAACAAGGCATCCAGGTTCCTGACTGGCTCAGTGAGATTGAGTGTGCAGCCGTGGAGGCTGATGTTGCAGCGCCCGAGGTGCGGAGGCGCTGGCGCGAGCCAACCAGAAAAATCCTTTCCCATTGTGAACACCATGTGAAAATCCATTTCCATTCCTCTGACAGTCACTTAATTGGTCCAGGTTGAAGATGTTCCACTCTAGTCAGTCAGCCTTATCATGTCTAAAAGTTCTCTGTGTGAAAAGGTTAATTTTGGAAGGTTGTGCGTGCGTTATAAGGTTCCAGGTAGCAACCCCCTATGTGTATCTATGGGAGACTGTCTCAGACTGTCCCAATATACTGGTGTTATTCTGCTGATCGTTTTGTGCTGTGGTGATTTTGCAATCTCCAAAAAATGTATTAATAATAATAATAATCCTTGCAAATCCTTGCATTTGATATAGCGCTTTTCACGTCGGGAGGACGTCCCAAAGCGCTTCACAGAATATACTGTAAAGTGAATTGACTGTATATTTGTGGGCGAACGCGGCAGCCAATTGCGCACAGCAATGTCCCACAAACAGTCGTAGATTGAAAATGACCAATTTATTATTGTTTGGGGTTTTGGAGGGATTATTATTAGGCTCTGT